GGAAGTTTGCCTTACCATAAGCTTTCGTTTGAGCCCTGTCCCGTTGACCAACTTGGGTGTACTAGTCTACTTATGCACCGGACTAATAGTCCAATATCCTTGATTTTAGCACATGAAACTGGAAAATTGGCAACGCTGTACAGCCTAAACCAGGGGTCACTTCAAGTTGAAACTTTGCATGGAAGTTTGCCTTACCATAGGCTTTCATTTGAGCACTGGCCGGTTGACCAACTCGGGTATAAAAAAAAAGGGGCGAAACTTGGCGAGGCTCTTTCTCCGAAATAGACTACCCGGTCCCCCCTTCCTGCCTCTGCAGGGACAGTTGATCACCAAATTCCTCTCCAAAAGGGGGGGGGTGCACGTTTTGAGAAGGCTACACCACAGACACTACGCCCAGGAGTCCCTAAAATTCTAAATCCGGCTCTAAGTAAACTTATTTGGACGTATTTATGCTAAAAGGAACTGTGTCTCGCGCAAACCCTATGCACATAGTTCCTTTTGGCACAAATACGTCCATTTGGCGTGGTCTCTATCAACTTGTTAAATAATAATTTGCCCTTGGATCGAAGTTTTCGAAGTCCAAGACTACCGATGAGTTGAAAACTGGAGCCGGCAACACGTCGAGGTGCGCTGCAAGGTTGCCAGCTCATGAGATAGAATATGGATATCCTATAAGGGATTAAATGGGGATAAAATCTGACTTTTAGGCACAATCTGGCCACAATGGTGCGCCGCTACCAGCAACTGCAGTGGGTCTCCCGATGCCAATTTGCCGGTGTTGTTTGAAATATGCAAATTGGACCCCGGACAAATAAAACAGTAATCAAATTATGAGCTTAGCCACGTTTCTCTTATGCCTAAGTTCAAAATACCCGTTGCCACGTTTGATCGAAAATAAAATTCGATAAATTCACCGCATGAGGATGAAAGCACCGTCATTGCAGCATTTCGAAGTTTTCAAAGGAATTTGGTTTGTTTTTAGAAAGACTGGGCATTTCAAGTATCACGGAAGGCATTTTGGGCGACCATTTTCCGACCCTTACTAGGCATCTGTAAGTAAACCTCTCATCCCCCTTTTGAACCATGTAAGACAGGCCAGACCCCCTCCCTCCACCCTATTTAAAAAATAACAGAGGAAGCTTAAAAATATGCCTTTCATTGGAAAAGATTTTTTATTTTAGGTGGGAACCCCCCCCCCCCACCCCTCACCCCATCTCTTAAGTATCTTGCGTAATACTTGAACGGGCGGTCCGGGTATGGGGCTCTATCATAGTCAAAATCGCTGTGCATCATTTTTTGTGAAGCATGTGGAATTCCGCGATTCTTCAATTCAGTTTTATAAACTGAAATTAGCTTGATATTCTTGGATTTTTTGGCATAATCTGAACCGTTAGAAACAATGTTTTTCTTTTTTATTTTAAGTTTATTTTTTCATCCCTTGTGTGGATTCATTTCTGACGGTTAATTTCGCGAAGAAATCCAAGGGAGGGTTTCGAAACAGATGTACGTCTTTCAGTTTTATCATGCGCATATTGGTTCGTAAATGAATAATCAAGGTTCAAATTAATTAACAAATTTATTTCAGAAAAATTCGTGGTCTCAAAATTTTGAGGCAAAAATACTATAAAAATATAACAAAACAGTGATAGCAATTGCAAACGTGTTCGTTGAACAAAGTTTACAGTTAAAAATTGATTTATACATATGCCATAAGACGTGTTATTTGGGCCAAATTTTTATCGTTAACTTGTCTACCGAGAAAGGGCTCGTAACATATTTTACAAGAATGCTGTACAAAAAAATTACAAATGACGGGTATTTCAAATATTTACATTCTATAAAAAAATCAATTCCCTAGAGTTTACTTTAATCGATTTAGTTTGGCCAAAAATTTCGCAAAATAAACGAAATGTATTTATTTACAGTTAGAGAGACGTGTAAAAGACTGTTTCCAGAATAATTAAGGTGATGATTACTTTTTTTTCTTATTACAATTGATATGGTAACCAAGAATATCTGGAGTATCAAAGTATATGAGCAAATACACTTGACACTAAAAAACTTCAGTCGGCATCAGCTTAGCTTTGCATCCCAGAATTCTCTCAAGAACGTTTGTTAGTGCCTATTTACTGTGCCTCTCCTTGTATGTGTCCAAGAAATGATGGCAAAAATCCCACCCTCTGCAGTTTTGCCAAACACTATTGAGACAACCAAGTTTCTATTTCAATTAAAGGCGTTGTTTTTACTCAACCGTTCTGTTAACAATATGACAAAGACTCTGTACGTACTGTGTACAGGAAATCTATGATTAATTCGACTATACATACTTTGCGAAGTGTTTCAAAAGTTGTATGGTTACGTGCTTACGCATTTTTTGCAAAAAAAAACTAGTTGGTTCCAAAATTTTCGCCTAAAATCAGCTTTTAAATGACAAAACTCTGAAAAGTAAGTCCGCGGTGATACTGGATATTGGAAGAGTACCTTTTTTTGGGTTAGAATTTCAAATGTTTTTCCGAAATGATGGGGCTGATAGTATGTACAAGCAACTCTCCGTGTAGAGAGCGGTATGGAATCTGTTAACCAGAGTACCCATTCAGACCTATCTCTGCATATTTTTTGCCCTATTACATGGATGTACTTCGACATAATTCTAGATGCCACTTCCATCCTGACGCTCTTTGTGAGCTTGAGAGTGATTTAAACAAAACTGTACTTGTAATTCCTTAAAATTCCTCAAATTTTACAAGGGGGTATGACAAGGTCAAATTTTAACTTTCCCCACGTTTCAATGATGGATGTAAAAAAAAAGGAACTCGATTAAAAATATTGCAAATTATTCTCGTCACATTTGATTTCTTCCAAAGGAAACTGATAAATATTATTTTTTGGAATTGTTATCAATTTTTCCTCATTTTGTACAAACAACGAGTAAGTAACGAGTAAACGAGTGTAAGTATTGTCTCGTGATTATTTTGATCAACATCATTCATTTTTCTTTTTAAAATAAATAATAATGAGTTAAAAGTAATTTTGGTAAAAATGAAGAAAAAAAGAAATGACATCAGAGGGGAATTTGAAGTGTTACAATTTTGATACGCTTTCCTTGACTTTCACAATCGACCTGTGTTGCCATGCTGTGAGGGAAAACGCCGTATTATTATTCAAACTTTGTCAAATTTACTTCAATAAAACGAATATTATCGAGAAAATCTTTGAGCATTTTTCTTTCAAATTTTCAGAGAATATTTTTCAATCTGGACATGGAAGAAAAGAGCACGGGCTTTTTAGATGATGTGGGCATTTCCAATTAATCGTGATTGTACCCCCAATAAAGAGATTACTAACCCAAATGTTGCGGTAATCCCCCAACTCGATTTACGGTACTACCTTAATTAATTGGAAATGTCCATATCATCCAAAAAATTGGAATAGTACCAAAATTTTAGGGGATAAACCCAAGCACCTTTTTCCGTGAAGTATGTGAAAATTTCAAAGGTAAAACTTTTTAATTATCCTCAAAAATACAAACATTACCATACAAAATGTGGCAACATTCGGATGTTTTCATAGCGTTTCTCCCCAGCGGGCTGATTACTGAAATTGATAGACAAAGCGATAGACAAAGAAGACATATGGAGTATGGAGCGATCTTATGTGTTGAAAAATTGGTGGCCCCTATGAACTAAGAGCGGAAATGAAAGACAAATTATTGGGTCTCTCGTGGGTTGCTGTTCGTTAGTCTATTACCCACCTCCTTTGTCCATTGCAACCACCTGCTTCCACCAATAGGATCCCTCGATATCCCTTTTGTCTTCTTTCGCCTTGTCTCCACGGGACGTTTCACGAGATTTTTCCTAAGTTCGAGTCGCAGGAATGAAACTTCTGAGCTTTTTCCCCGTTAAACATTACGACAAAGTTTCTTCTTTTTAAATCGTTCCTGGGACTCCACAAGTACTCTTAGCTGGCACTGTGATTAGTATTGACTGCCTCAATATTTTTCCCAACTTCGCGGTGAGATTTTTCCCAGGAACAAATCCCATGAGACATTCCGTGGAGACAAGACCTAAGTCTATAGCTTTGTCTATCAATTTCGAAAATCGGCCCGCAGCACGACACTCTCCGAGAGCTCATTCATCTTCACTGGAAAACAAAAACACATTGGATCTAGAGTCCAGACTCTTGAAAACATTGACAAGAAAAAATACTCTTGATTCAATCGGATTTTTGCTTGAATCAAAACGAAATCCGCTTAAATTAAGAGGCTTGGTTCTCGATTTAAGCTAGATTCTGAATGAATCAAGAGTACTTTTTCTTGTCGATGTTTTTAAGAGTCTGGACTCTAGCTCCAATGTAATTTTGTTTTCCAGTGTTTTCCGGAACTTGTTTACCTGCTCTAAATCATAAACCGATGAGTTATACACCGAAACCCCGAATTTTCACCCCGATTAACTAACCCGGAACGAATGCCGCGAGAACCTGCCTACCACGATCGCGCTCACCGCCAGCGCGAGCCAGCAATCCCCGGACGGCCGCCCGACCGCCGAGTTCCTGTTGAGCACGCTGGCGTCATCGTTGCACCCACCGATGGACTGGAGGTCCAAACTCGACATCGGCTTCCCGTTGAACTCCAGCGGCGAGATGCAAAAATTCTCCTGGAGGAAGAGCGTCAAGTTCCCTGCGACGAGCGGGCTCGCCAGGAGCCAGTGGATCCGGCAATCGCACGGGAAGTGGTTCTTGGAGACGACGACCTCCTTCATGACGTCGAGGACGATGAGGTGGGGCTGCGGGACGTCGAGGATGTGGTTGCCCTCGAGCTTGACGGCGTCGACGTTCTGCGAGTCGAGGATGGCGAGCTCGCGGATGGAGTCGATCTTGTTGTTGCTCAGGCTGATGAGCCCGACGAAGCTGAGGTTGGCGAAGGCGCGGGGCTGGATGATGCCCAGGTCGGAGTCCTGGATCGTGATGGCGTAGACGTTGCTCAGGCCGTGGAAGGTGTTGGCGCGGAGGGAGCTGAGGTCCATGTAGGGCAGCTTGATCAGGCCGATCGTGTCCATCCCCGCGAAGGCCTCGGGTTCGATGTACTTGATGCCGGAGGGGAGGATCAGGTAGCGGACGTGCCTCAGGCCTGAAACATGGGCCCAGGAATGCTAGTTTTAAAAGATAGATTCGAGTGTATGCGATTCAGGATTCACAGTAATATTTTCTCCGTGGAGTGTTGATACGCTGGAAAAAAAAAACACATCGGATCTAGAGTCCAGACTGTTGAAAACATTGACAAGAAAAAGGACTCTTGATTCAATCAGATTTAAGCTTAAATCAAAAGGAAATCCGCTCAAATTAAGAGGCTTGATTCTTGATTTATGCTTAAATCTGATTGAATCAAGAGTATTTTTCCTTGTCGATGTTTCTAAGAGTCTGGACTCTAGATCCAATGTGTTTTTTTCCAGTGTATAAAGCCTCTGTAATGGACTTGTAGACAAGGTATGAAGTAAAAAATTCTGATACATGGTTTCATGCATTTCTATGTAACTAAAACGCCTTTAATTTTTCGGTATGCAACTCGGTCATCCATTGAACACGAATAGTTGTATCCAGGCGTTGTGTATAGAGACATTGGGAATAGAAATGGAGCACTAGACGAAGTGCAAATTTAAGCATTCTGATAAATGCACATGTTTTCTCATTGAAATTTCACGTAAAACACGATTCGCGCAACAAAAAGTACCGAAGGTAACTCCTAACTCAGATATTCAATGTTTCCTGACGCGTGAATTCAAATATCCCGCTCATGAAGACGCAATAGTCTACATGAGTCAAATCGCGCACTGAACGTTGCTGTAACAGTCTCTATGGCATAAAAACGTGACAATCTCGATCTCGAGCGCCGATACTGAATAAGTCGTATTTTCATACTGCAAAGACTGTCAAGGTAAAATTTACTGTGCGGTTTTACTCAAGTAGATTATTGTTTATCCTATATGATCGGAAAGTTCGAATTTATGCAAGAGCAAAATCTTGGTCAGGAGTGACATTCAAATATTTTTGTTGCGCAAATCGTGTTTTACTTCAAATTTCAATGAGAGAACACACATCAGAATGCTTAAATTCGCACTTCGTCTAGTGCGCCATTTCCATTCTCAATGTCTTAATACACAACTCCTTGATACAACTATTCGTGTTTGACGGATGACCGTGTTGCATACCGAAAAATTGAAGGCGTTTTAGTTTCCACCGTGTTTTCAGCGGTGATGGGTGTGTGCCACTGCGGTGCTGCCGGTCGGGGATATAGTAGGTGAGGCGTTATTACCTTGAGAGGGAGATTGAAAAAGGGTTCGAGCTGCATTAAATGGACGCATTTATGCTATGTTGCACGAAAACCCTATGCACATAGTTCTTTTTAGCATAAATACGTCCAAATAGGGAACAACCGCATATAAATAGGATGTTACAGAAGTTTTTACAATAAATGATTTAGCGTTGAAATTTTTCTCGTAAACCCACTCGAAGAATAGCTAAGTTTCATATCCGGACACAGATTTTCAAACGATTGGTGCTGAGTTTGATGTAAGTCCTCTTTCAGCAACCGTCCCATAACGAACTATGCGGAAACCGACTATCCTCGTCCTAACCCAATGGGTCGGTTGCGCTAGTCATAGAATTGTGTTTTGGTACTCGATTCTTGTAGATTAGATAAAAATAATAGAATCCGCTCAAACAGCAATTTTCTACGTTCAATATTAGCGGAGAAATTGCCTTTTGAAAATTCGGGATTTTTACTGTCATTTACCGCGGTAGTGACACCCTTGGTTTCTTTTACCTTGCTTTCATCCAAAGTTCACGCTGAGTAACCAGTGCATCACTGACTGATGAAAGCAAGGTGGAAGAAACCATGAGTGTCATCATTACCGCGGTGGATGACGTAAAAAACCTGGCTTTTCAAAAGGCGATACCTCTGCCAATATTGAAGGTAGAGAGTTGCTGTTTGGACGGATCGTATTACCTATTTTTAGCTGATCTACAAGAATCAAGCATCAAAAGGCGAATAGGTGACCAGCGCAACTGACCCAATTTTGCTTCTGGGATATTACGAATTTCACTGTTGGTGTAGCATAGGATCAACCTATCTATAGTTTCTAGATCGTTGCCCTCCTCCCACAAAGAGCTCTCAGCTCCAACCTTAGGTGTCGTCAAGTGCCCGGAGCATTGAAAAAAAGAAAATACATGCATAAGGAAATAGGGGGCTCCGCCCCCTGGCCACTACGCGGCCCGACCCACGGGGCGCTGTGCGCCCCCAAATGCCCGTCTTCGAGGCCATCGAAATCTCAAACGAAAAAAACCACAGTTACTAACTTATCAACCCATTAAAAATTAATCAACCTACTTACGGACGAGACTCCACTTACGGACTTCGAATTCCCCCTCCTCGCCCCCCCCCCCCATCGAGCGTCTTAAAAATGATTTTTTTAGAATAGAGAGGATATCTAACCTGAAAAGGCGGAGCTATTGATGCGGACGAGGGGGTTGCTGCTCAGGTTGATGGTCTCGATGTTGGAGGTGCCGGCGAAGGCGTTCCTGCCGACGGAGGTGATGAGGTTGTTGGTGAGGTAGAGGTTGCGGAGGCCGAGGAGCCCGGCGAAGGAGAAGGGCGAGAGGGCCGATAGGTTCGTGTTGTTGATGTAGAGCTCCTCGAGGCGCGGGACCCCGCGGAAGGCGAAGGCCCGGATGGCGCTGATGTTGTTCCCGTCCAGGATGAGCTTCCGCAGGTTCTTGAGCAGGGCGAAGGCGTCCGGCTTGATCACCGTGAAGTTGTTCTTCATGAACGAGAGGTGCTCCACCAGCGACGGCAGGAGGTGCGCCGGGATCTCCGAGAAACCCCCCGAGTGGCAGTACACCTGCAACACAAGTTTGGTGCCCTCTAGAGTGATCATGGATCGTCGACCCTAGAATACCTGCACTGCCGTGCTAAGGAAGAACGCCATATGAACATTCGAGAGTTGCCAAAATTCCTTCAATAAAATGTAAATTTTGAGGAAATTTATGAATATATTTACTTTAAATCGTTGTGCCACTCTCTGATCGATTCATCAGTTTCAGGCTATCATGGAGCTCCTTTGGCCCAACGTAAACAAGCCCGACCCAGAGGAACACGTATTTTCGGCTGAGAAATAAATGATAATCACACTCAAATGTTTGTTTTCGGCAAAAATATTCATCAAAGTTCGATCCGAACTCAATTCAGAAGTTGATTATAGAAAAATTTCTACCACATCCAAAATCACGCCTAGAACTTTGTAGAACTTTTTCGCCATCTTGTTTGTTTACATTGGGTCAAATTAGGAGCGGAGGGGCTAGGGTACGTTTACAATGGTCCAACTTTGAGGCTCCATGATAGCCGACCAATCAGAGAGCGGCACACTTTTTCTGTAGTAGAAGGATTGAGATGGCAATTCTCTCCTGTATATAGGTACTCTAGTCGACCTTGGTGCGACGGGCGCGAGGTCTAGTACGTGGGGAGTTTTGGAAGTTATGAATGATCACAGATAAAAATCAACAAAATTTGGTAACCATTGCTCTGTCATTTGTGTGCAAGAATAATATTTTTGAAAGTAAGTTTTGCAACCTTGGAATGGAGATACGATCCTTCGCATATGGAACGACAATTTATGCCCCTACACAAAATTTGAAAACGAAAAAATCTACACACAATATACGTACAACAATATTGTTATAGTTTTTTTTCTTCTTTTTTCCCCTTTTTTCCGACTGCATATTTGCATTTACTTATTTTAATGCATACTGTAAACGCCGATTCTCCTTTTGAAAGTTAAATTTAGACGTTTTGGTTCTGCACGCTTTTAAATAGTTCAAATGGAACTTCCTCCTGCATAATCGATAGATCGATCGACCATCGACCATCGAATCGTTCTCGCAAACAATGTAAAACCACCGCAAACAAGACAGCAAAACGGCATCCAATCAGTGGCGTGGCGTGATTTGCGATACATCGATCGATCCACCATTTAAACCTACAAAAAAAGGTCGAAAAACAGGGTGTTCGCAACGAACACCTTAATAATCGATTCTTTACCATAGCTTCAAATGGAGAAATATCGATAATCGATCATTCACGCTTCGCCACTGCATCGCATCCAATGCGGAAGCCCCAATTCCGATTATGGGTTCACGCCGCCCTCCCAATATTTCACCGCGGAGGGGAGGGTCCTATGATGAGGGGGGGGGGTGGCAAAATTGAATCGAGGAAACCGCCGAGATCATATTCGAAGGAGCAGATAGGGAGCGGGCAGCAGTGGCGTGGCGTGAATAATCGATTATAAATATCTCGCCATTTGAAGCTATGGTAACGAATCGATTACTAAGGTGTTCGCTGCGAACACCCTGATAATCGATCTTTTTTCATAGGTTTAAATGGCATAACAATCGATATATCGAAATTCACGCCACGCCACTGGCGGGCAGCCTCGACCGGGGACCCGGGGAGTCCGGGCCAGGGGCCGTGATAAATGAGACAAGAACCACGCACGACTCCACACAAAAATGGATTTTCATCCGGTTTTGGCGCTCTTCCAAAAATTACTATTTTTCACACCTCTGCCGCTTCCGCCCGGCTTCCGGGCTTCCGATCAGTGGCGTGGCGCGAATTGCGACTTATCGATTTTTATGCCATTTAAACCTATGGTAAAGAATCGATGTTAAGGCGTTCGCTGCGGACACCCTGTTTATCGATCCTTTTCGGTAGGTTTAAATGACAGATCAATCGATGTGATTCGACGAACGCTATATTTTGTGTCAGAACGACAAACGATACATCGCATCGATTAACTCCATTTTTCAGGTGCTTGTCATTTTCCTCGAATTTTGAAATCGTAATTCTGTTGTCAGGGGACTTAAAAATTATTTTACCGATTTTGACAAATAAATTCAGCGTAATAAAGGCGTGGTTGTTTTTAGAAGAACTCGTTACTGATATCAAAACTGCACTCAAATGCGAGATTTTCTCTCTAAAAAACCTTGCTTGCAATACGTTGAGTTCGTTTGTCAAAATTGGTTAGTGAATTTTTTAGTCTCCCGACAACAGAATTGCGATCTCAAAATTCGAGAAAAATGACGAGGAGCTGAACAAATGGAACTCAGTGGCGAGGAGTGAATAATCGATTATCGATATTTCCTCATTTGAAGCTATGGGAAAGAATCGATTATTACGGTGTTTGTTGCGTAACACCCTGTCTATCGATCCTTTTCCATAGGTTTAAATGACAGATCAATCGATGTATCGCAAAGCACGCCACGCCACTGGCTTCCGTTCCCGCCGAGTCCTTTATCGTTGTTACTCTGGCGTACAAAAAGCCGGCCACAAACTACGTAAGGCACTTTTTCCAATTTTTAGACTCCCCTCCCCCTCGTAAGGCTAGCTTGGAACCCCCCCCCCTCCCTAAAAAATTACGTAAAGCTGGTCAGACTCCCCGCTTCTATCGTTTAAATTCATAATTTAATGAAAAAATGGTGTTCAAACAAATTGGTATTGTTTTGAACATTACTATAATCGCTGGTAGGAGATCATAAAAAATAATAGTTGTACGGGAAAAATAACCAGTTTTTAAATTTAAAGGCTCAGAAAAAATTACATGTGAACAAAAAAGAACATTAAACGTCTAAAAAAAAGAAATTTAGACAAGCTCGGATCGATTCTGAGCTCGAAGTATAGTATCGTTGAGCAGTTTTTATAGCCCTACGCTACCGACAATCTTCTCAAGACGTAAAGATGATTTTTGCTACTTCAGCGAGTCAAATCGCGGAAGGAGATCCATGGATTGTCACTTTCCTCCACCCAACGGGACTGATGTCTGAGTCAAATGCGTTTTTGAAGAAATGATCGATCCCCATCGTTGCTTCGCATCTCCACGTATCTATTCATGTGCAAATGACAGCACGCTCGGTATCAAGGTTCTGTGACGAAATCATTTTTGTCTTGAGAGTCTCTAAGATGCACACATCAATTACATCATAGTGATCAAATGTCCAATCACTCATAAAAATGGCTCGCTCCGCGAGCCGAATGCCACTCGCGTAGCGAGTGACCGGAGGTCCAGGGTGCGCAGCCTCTTAGCTTGCCGTGACAAACGCGCAAAGCGCGTCTAGTATGATTTAAAGGCTCTATAAAGTTCTAGTACATGGTAGCACTTTTCAAACAAGTAAAATTAAAAAATCAATATTCTTCTCATTTTTCTCTGGAAAATACTCAACGTCATTGCATGAAAATTCTCCTGATTTGTCTTCTTTGCATGCAGAATAATTTATGAAAATTCCAAAGGATAACGTTGGCTTGTCCTCTCTCGATAAAATAAAATGAAAGCGCAGATTTCGGAACACCGCAAACGATGAACGCATTCCTTCAGTTCCGCCGTCGACGTCATTTCTGCAAAAAAACCAAAAATATTGGCTCCTCTCTGCTAAACTCGGTCCAAATCATAGCCGCAGGAATAAGTTATTCCGAGACCGCAGTGACTGAAGAGGTGAAGAGGAGAGAAAAATCCGAGCGTAATAAAATTACCCTGATTGATGTCAGCGGTGTAATGCCTCTTATTTCCCCCGTTATTAGATTTCAGACCTCGGTAACGTCTTGTTTTCTTTTTCTCTTAATTAAAGTTAATTAAATTATTAAACCCACTCGAATCGCCAGGGATATCAGCGCAACTCGCTGCGAAGGAGGTTATGACGCTACCAAGAGGGAGAATGGAAATTAGCAGACGCGCCACGCTTCGGTTTAAAATTAGAGTCTCTCATCTCGCCCGATACCCGGAAACGACAATCGGCGCCGGCTCGCTCGGCGTTTCCGTTTCCGCCCCCTGTTTCCGGTCCTTTTCTCGGAAGGTGGAGCTTATAGTTGCCACATTGTGTCATGAATCCTGTTTTATACTGATTTGTGTTACTGTAAGTCAATCAAGGGATGGCAGGGAGTAGAGTAAGAGATCAGAAGGTGTCATTTCGTCGTCTCTCAGACGAAAGGACGTAAGTTTATTCCAAGGTTGCCCAATTAACTGAAACAAATCGATGATGTAATTGCAAAAATGCGTATATCGGTTGCGGTGTTTGAAAATTTCCGCTCCTATTGTATTTTTTAAAAGGAAACCGAACCAACATCGTGGCTTGAAATTTTCACAGAATATTCTTCAAATAGAGAAGAAAAATATCCGAAGTGCTCAATAAATTATGTTAAGAGGTTTTCCGTATGAAAAATAAAGTATGACAGGAAGTCTGCAACGCCGCAAACCGGTATACGCATTTCTGCAGTTTCGCCATCGAAATAATTTATTTTATACAAATGTAATTTTTCTGATTTTTGCATAAAATCAGAAAACAAATCAGCGAAGAGTGGAAAAAAGCGCACCTCTCTCATAAGACCTACTCTGCCACGTGCTAAGGAAGAACGTCATATAAGCCTTCAGGCTTCAGACATTTTCTTCGACTGATCACGAGTTTTCAGGAAAATTTGTGAAAATTTTTTCTCCAATTTTAAAGAGGATTTTGTTCGAAATTTTATCTAAAACGTCTGAAATTTTCAAGGAGGAATATGCATAATTTTCTTCAAAAATACATGTTTTATTCGGGGAAGTTCGGCAACTCTCGAATGTTCATACGGCGTTTTTCCTTAGCACGGCAGTACTGACGGGCCACTGGCAAAAGTCGGCAATACGCCCTTAATTGCGTAAAAATTAAAAACTTAAAGTTAAATCAAAACGCAGAACTATTAACTTATGAGTTGTTATTTTTATAAAAACAAATGTTTAAACAAATTAATATGGAACAACAAAACATTTACTATCAAAATCTTTTATTTGTTCAACAATGTGAGTTATATATAGAATAGAAATGCTGTTCATTTCGACAAAGTCTGACAACCAAAGCTGGATCCAAATGTATACAAATGCTTGTGGGTATCGCAATATTGAAGAACGAAAGCAAACGCTAACGAATCTGTGTTTTCATATTTTTTCGCCGGGAGTCAAACCTAATTGTAGAGTCAAAAGTTTCTCTTACCTCTTTTTGAGAGGGGCAGATGCATTTCGGAGAACACCATTCAACCTCAGAAGACCTCACCACGGCCAACAGAAGCAAGAGCTCTGTCGTTTTTTGCCACATCCTTTTATTCACCTGGAAAATAGAGAATTGAATCACTCAACAATGAATTTTTGAGGGGAAAAATACAAGGCAAAGAAACGGACGCATAAATGTAACGTACTGATCCAGTCTGCGAACTCTGAGGTAATTTTCATAAAATGGGACCATCCGCGCATAGAGAGACCTGGACCTCAGTGCCAAAAATACTAAAAATTGAGATAGTGGTACAGCTTAGCAGAAAACCTTTTCGTAAACATTTTCGCACACAAAAAATATGAAAGTTTAGTCCACGTTTAGTATACGATTTAACTCGAGTAAATTATAGTTTTTCCGTCCATTAGTAGTCATTATAGTAATTCATAAATTATAGTTGTCTCGTGCAATTTACCAGACACTCTCTTTCCTCATAGATAAGGATGATGATTAGGTGTCGCAGAGCACCCGGGCGCGCTATAATTAAAGCGACTTGCAGTACATCGATGGCTAAAGTGCGAAACCACTTATATCCATCGTGGTGTTTCATATTCTCTACTCTCATTTTATTTTTTCGAAGAAAAACAAATCAACTACAAAACTTGAAATTTCTACGTAATATTCTGCTAATAAATATGAAAAATCAAGGAGGTTTGTAAGAAATTAAGTTGACTATAGTTTTCCAATGAAAAGAAAAAGTATTATAAGTATATATGTATAAGAAAAGTATTGTCATATTTTAGCCTTGTTTCCCGCCCCCCTATTTTTCTCCTGTAATTATAACATAGCGACCTGATGGTTGAACTTTCTGTCCGCGCGACAAGACATCGAAAATCGATATATTACATGGCACACATAGGGCTGTCTTGGCTTATCTGGCTGACAAAGCCAGATAAAGTTTCGACAATAAGCTATGCTGCTTAGATTCGCACTTTGTCTGGTGGTGCATTACACCCCCGGCCCCCTCAAACCTATCTCACCGATTCTCAGACCCAGATTTTGCTCCAATCAAAACGGAGGACATGAGCTGCGGCAATGACAGCCTCGCAAAGATGAGCTCAGATCGACGGAGCTAATCAAAAGCATCGCGGAACACAGGCCTGTAAATTAGGCGGAGGGATGATCGGCAGTGGCGTGGCGCGAATGATCGATTATCGATATCTCGCCATTTGAAGCTATGGTAAAGAATCGATTATCAAGGTGTTCGCTGCGAACACCCTATTTATCGATCCTTTTCCATTGGCTTATATGGCATAACAATCGATATATCGCAATTCACGCCACGCCACTGATATTCGGAATACGGAGCATTGGCTCACTCACAAGATGGGGAGGGGGGGGGAGGGATCAGAAACAAAGATACGGATCATCATACGGTGCTCTGCGTCTCATCAAGACTGACTGACGTCTCAATAGCGCGCCATTAGGTTTTGCCACGATGACGTCATCAACGGGACCACTTGATCACGGTCCGGCGCACAGTGGGTCGAGTCAATAGGAGAAGACGGACAAAATCTGGAAAATTTAAAAGTTTATGCTTTTTGAAAATACAAAACAAAAGCATTTGAATGTGGTTTTATTGGTTTTTTTCGTAAAATTTACTTCCAGAAACACCCCTTGAAATTGGATTTGTAACGAAATTAACATCGAAATTTGAAACTTTTGCCGAGACTTTCATATCCGCAACCTCTTCTATAAGCTCGATCCACTGTGCGGCGATTGTAACAGGGTCATGAAGGTTCCTACGTCCTGAAGAAAGACATTGCATAACGTCAGCAGGCTGATTATTGAAATATATAGACAAAGATATAGACAAAGAAAACAAGAAACTAAAATGGAGCGATACTAGTGATGAAAGAGGGTGGTTGCAATGGACAAAGGAGGTAGTAATACTAACTAACGGCAACATACGAGAGAGCCTATAGTTGGTTCATTTTTCCCCTCAGTCTGTAGCAATCCCCTGTTTTAACCCATAGGCCACTCCATTTATCCTTCATCCTCTTTATCTACCGCTTTGTCTATCAATTTCATTAATCAGCCCGTGGGTCGTTGTTTAATTGCTTTTACTTACAAAAGATTCATTTCAGGGAAGAATTATGAAAATTTTTTTAAAAAATGTGTAGATACTTTAGGCTAAATTGTGAATAATTCCGTGAAAAGATCAAAGGAAAATGTACGGTAATTTTCAGGAAAATACAATTTCTGTCAGCCGAGATCTGGCAATGTTTTAAAAATACAAGCGAGGAGTCGCTTTCAAAAACATTCATTTTAGAGTGAAAGTAAGAATATTTTACTTGGAAATGTTCACAAATTTTAGATTAAATTTTGAATAAGTCCCTTGCGAAGATCAAAGAAATATTTACAATAATTTCTGAACCAATTCAATTTTTTTCAGGAGAGATTTGGCAACGCCTAAATGTTTGTGCACAATTTTTCCGGAAAACCGCAGTAATTGGTGATGATGAGGGGGAAAGGGGTTCAAATTTCCACCCTCCACTTTCGCTTCCACTTCACTCCCGACGAAGAGTGCAGCTGATGCATCAGCAGTATGGAATTTCACCTGTTATCTGAGTCGCGAGGTCTTCAGAAAAATGAATATAATACGACTTCTTCTAAATTACAAACATTTTAATTATTTCTCTTAAACATACATCAATTCATCAAGTTTCTGTGAGAGTTTTCCCTTTATATCAGAAGCAAAGTCATCATGTAAGTGAAACACAGCTGCTCCAAGTTACGGCGTCGTGATACAACTATTCGTACTCTTAGGATGTCCGCGTTGCATACACGCTAAGTTGAAGGCGCTCCAGCTTTTCACACAGCAACAGCAATGCAGCGCGGCGCGCGGCATGGCGACAAGCACGCGAGACTCCTGCTCTGCCGTGCTAAGGAAAAACGTCGTATGAACCTCCAGGCGTTGCCAAATTTCCTTCGATAAAACACGAATTTCCTGGTAAACTTATGAATATTTTCTTTCCATTTTTCAGATACTCTTGCTCGCAATTCCACCTGAAGTTCATGAAAATTTCAAGGAGAAATATTCATAACTTTCCTCAAAAATGAACGTTTTATCGAAGGCAATTTGGCAACTCTTGAATGTTCATACGGCGTTCTTCCTAAGCACGGCAGTGCTTCCGCACACCCTACTGTATTAAGGAAAAATGTCGTATAAATATTGAAACGTTGCCAAACTTCAATTTAAATATCAACTCCAAGGAGACTTGTGAATACTTTAATTTGAACTTTTCAGGTAATTTCACACGCTGTTTGACCTATGTTACTTGAAAACCCCCAGAACCATATTCATAACTTTTTCAGGAATATATAGGGCAAACTTGCAACGTCTAAATGCTCATACGGCGTTCTTCCTCAGCCTGGCAGCATTTTTAAAAGTTGGCGACACTGCAATTCTTCCATTTAAACGTACGTAAAACAATCGATTCAGCCTGCCTCGCCTGGAATCGATAGTTTTAATGAATTTAAATGGGAAAAAATCAGTGTTGCCAACTAGAAAGCATTGCAACTCCACGGCATGGCAGCGTACCACAATGCTCCAACGATGTTAAATAGAACACTGCCCTGCAAATCCTATAACTCTCTCTCTCTTATACTGTGATCTTTCTCAGCAGGGCGAAATATGGTACTTGACCGCATTTTTAATTGCTTCACGTGTTTTTTTGCACTCTTTCACCTTTATTTTCTCTATTTCTCGATAAGTTTAATGCGCCGACGAGATACTAACCACTTTACTTCTAACTGTATTATTCTAACTAACAGCATCTCATCACGGAATCAAAGGTGGCAAGGCGTGAATGATTGATCATTGATATTTCCCCATTTGAAGCTACGGTGAAAGATCGATTATTAAGGGGTTCGTTGCAAGCACCCTGTTCATCGACCCATTCCTCAGATTTAAATGGCAGATCAATCGATAGATCGCAATGCACGCCACGCCACTGAAACGGGCGAATTACACTGAAAATCTTTTTCTCCCCTCTGCATCTCGGAAGTGAAGGGTGATGGGAGAGGCTTTACAAAAGAGGAAATAATGAGCCAGCAACAGGTTTGCGTGACTAATGCAGGCAGTTATCTTTTAACTTGTTGCGCCTAAACACTCACCTTATTTTAACGTTTACAGTTGTTTTCATGCGTTATTATGTGCAAGTAAGGCACTAGCTATTTAACATAAGAATATAAAGTTTAAGGGTAATGTGAATAAAGTCCAAAGTTGTCTATATGCATTGCAACGATTGAAAATATCTTTTAGAAAAATATAATGCACTGAAAAAAAAAAAAAAATCTCGGTGTATTTACTAGGAATGCAGGGTTCTATTTGATCCCAGTTTTTTCTTGGTAAAATTACCATTTATGGAATTGGTAATTTTAAAATTATTGAACTTTCTCGGTAATTTTACTGGGCCTTGGTAAAAACGCCAATATTTTTTATCGACTGTGGTAGAATTACCGAGATAAAATGGCAAAGTTACCGGGAATTGATTACCAATAAAAGTGGTATTCTTACCTGAATAAACAGTAAAAATACCGGTTTTTAGGTAAACTTACCAGTGTGTCTTTGTAAAGTTACCAATAATTGGTAAAAAAAAGTGAGATGGTAAAGGTACCAACGGACCGTGGTAAAAACGCCGAAAATTTTTTTTCAGTGTAGGAGCAGGAAATTTTAAGCACAGTAGGTAAACGGGGTACGTGTTTAGGTAGTTCCACCATCGATGATTTTTAGAACTCAACTTTTAACCAACGGGCAACAATGGTGACAACCAAGCCGCCGCGGCGCCGCCCTTAGGAAGAACGCCGTATGATCCTTCGGGTGTTGCCCAATTTCCTTCGACAAATCATGAGTTTTCAGGAAAATTGTTGATTATTTTTTCTCCAATTTGTAAGAGGATTTTTGTCTTAATTTTATCTAAAAAGTCTGAAAATTTCAAGGAGAAATATGCATAACTTTCTTCAAAAATACACGTTTTATTCGGGGAAATGTGGCAATTCTCGGATGTTCATACGGCGTTCTTCCTTAGCACAGCAGCATGGAGATTGAGCAC